TGGAGCAAAATTTGACTGCCATTTTGCTGTTTATGATATTTGCCAAAAAAAGAAAAAGTCTCTTTACTACTAGTAAAAAGCAATATGATAATAATGGTGTTATTTAAGTATTATTGTAACAGTAATCGTACTGATGGCCGATAACCTGACTTCTGCTCTTGGGTCTGCTAACCAAATATTTTTGGGGTCTTGGACAAGTCACTTCTGTGAATCTCAGTTTTCTAACCTATAAAAAGGAGATGTGAACTTCTGGTCATTAACAAGGATGCTGTGCATATTATATATAGTAACACCTTTAGAGCATTTTAATTTGTTGCTATACCCCAGTTGCACAGAGAAGCCTAGTAACAGTGGTAGCACCCTTGCGGTATCCACCATCATCATTGTTACCACCATTATTGGCACAGACAGAGAAGAAGGTGCCCAGAAAAACATGACTAAGGGACACTTGTGGAACAAGGTAAGTAGGTTTCACAATGTATCCATTTCCCAGGGCTACCTTAAAAAAAGTACCACAGACTGGTGGCTTAAAACAACAGAAATCTATTCTCAGTTCTAGAGGACAGAAGTTTGAAATCAAGGTGTCAACAGCTCCTTCCAAAAGCTCTAGAAGAGAATCCTTCCTTGCTGCTACCAGCCCCTGCTGGCTCCTGGTGCTCCCTGGCTTGTAGAAACAATCCCAGTCTCTGCCTCTGTTTTCACATGGCCTGCTTCTCAGTGTGTCCTAATATCCCTTTCCTTCCTTTCATAAAGACACCATGCATTGGATTTAGGGCCACCCTAAATCCAGAATGATTTCTTCTTGAGACGTCTTGAGATTAACTGCTTACATCTGCAAAGAGCTTATTTACAGAAAAGTTCACATTCTGAGCTTCTGGACATAATTTTGTGGACATAATTTTGGAGGAACAGTGCTAGCTCCAAAGAATGGTAAAGGCTGACTGGGGACCTGTGTTGAGAAGAATGTTAAGGCTGAATTCAGGATTAGTAGGAAACAATACCAGGGTCATGAGCAAGGTATGGGAAGTGGACACATACTTGTCATGTTCTTGTCATCACTAAGCACTTATTACAAGGGAATTGAAGATTTGTCACTGCCCCTGGTCACTCAGTGGCAAAGTTGCACTAGAAATAAAATCTCCTGACTCAGAATTCAGTGCTCTTTCCACTACACAATTTAATAATCTCTCATCTCAACCCCTCTCTAGAGTTATTACTAAAAATGTAAATATAAGACCTTGAGAATTACTGACACCTTAATACTTATGTTGATTTAATCAGTCAGATTAGAGTCGTTAAGAACCATTTGGCTGACTTCCATTTCCAGCTCTGTATCATACTAACCTTCCACCTGAGAAAAAATAAAAGCTGGATAAAATTTAAAGGGAAAATTTTGAAAGCTTTGAAGAATTGGGGGTAGAAGATGTCAGTATACTTTAAGGGAAGTATTATAATTAACAAAGGACATTTCATGATGACAAAAGGTGATAAAAAGGGCCAATTCAATAGGAATATTTTGAAAAATTCTTAAATTTGTAAGCATCTAATAGTGTACCTTTAAATATATAAAGAGAAGAAACAGAATTAAAAGGACACATAGGCAAATCCATACTTACAATCAGAAGTTTTTTAAGTCTCTGTTTCTCATGAATGTAATAAGCAGACAAAAAATCAGTAAGGACATAGAAGATTGAACAAGATTAAAAAGCTTGACCTAATTGATGTATAGAACCATTTACCCAATTACTGAAAAAGGCACATTCTTTTCAAGGGAACATGAAGTTTTACCAAAATTGAACATTTGCCTGGGGCATAGAGCAAGTCTACACAAATTTCAGGAGACTGAAATCATTTAGAGTATGCCCTCTGACCACAGTGGAATCCAGGTACAAATCAATCCCCCAAAATATAAATAGAAAAATTCCCCACATATTAGGTTGTAGGCAAAGCACATCTAAGTAATCATGAGTAAAAGAAGAAATCACAGTAAAAATCAGAAAATAAGTTGAAATAAATAATAATAAAAAATACTACATACTAAAATCTCTAGGATACAAAAAAATAACTTGTGGATTATAGCTAAAACAATCTGTTGAGGAACATTGAGAGCCTTGAATGCATATATTAGAAGAAAGGAAACACTGGAAAATTGATGACCTACACTTTCCTGAGAGGAAGCTGGGGGAAATGCAAATTAAATCCACAGGGAGTAGAAAGAAAAGAATTTTTTAATGGCAGAAAAGAACTATACCCAGCGAAAATCAACAAACCCTAACATTCATTCGTCAAAAAGACTAATAAGGATTGATAAACTTCTAACAAAAATGATCACAATTTTTTTTTAAAAAGGAAGAGACAAATAATGTCAGGAATGAAAACTATCCTACAGACAATTATAAATAAAATTAGGGGATATCATGAACAACTTTATACCAATACATTTAAAAATGTAGATAAAATGGCAAACTCATTGAAAAATAACTAATTTAAAACTGATACAAGAAGAAATAGAAAATATGAGCAGTGTTTCATTAAAGAAATTAAATTTTTAATAAAACTATTCCTACAGTATAATCTCCATGGCTTCTCAATGAATTCTTCCTAATATTTAAATAAGAAATAATAGCAGTTTACCACAAACTCATTCAGGGATTAGAAATAGAGGGAAAACCTCTCAACTTGTTTAATGAGATCAGCATAAAGTTGATACCAAACCTGACAAAGGGATTACAAGAAAATTATGGAACAATCTGTCTTAGAAACATACACCCCCCTACACACACACAATATCCATTAGCTATAAGGGCAGATGAAACAGTCAGTGGGGGGACAGGGCTTATGCAATTAGTTTCTTCAGTTTCCTTCATTTCACTCTTCAGAAGGAGAGCAACTTTGTGCTTTTGAGGTAGAGACAAGTATCTTATTTACTGGAAAGAAGGCAGCATGGTAGAAGGTGCATCTTTCTATAGTCACAAATATTTATTAAAGCCACTGAGAAAGTAATGCTCTCTTTTTCAAAGTTCATCATTGTACTCTATTGGCAGTCCTCCATTCCAGGCCTGTCTGTAGTAACTCAGAGAGATGGGATAAACAGAAGCATGAGTTAGATACTGCTAAGTTCAGTCCTGGTTCTGCCATTTTTGGCAAGGTGATGTTCAGTAAGTTATTTGGTCTTTCTTAGCCTTCATGTTCTTGTATAAAATAATTGGTTAATGACATTTATCTGAAGGTAGTTCAGGGGATTAAATGAGATGATGGATGTGAAAATGCCTGTACACATAGAGAGGTAGATATTTTCCTGAAGTTGGAGATACAATTTGCATTATTTACTTACAGAATTTGTGCCACTTAAAGTCACTATTGTCTACCATTTTCTATTTATTAAGAGCAATAAATTCATGTCCCTAAAAGATTATCATTTATTGTTGTAGCTACTTACAATGTATCTCTGTGTCCATCAGACGCATGTGGATTAGAATGCATTTGGTGCCTCTTACAACATGCTAGTTAGAGACACAATGGATAGACTGTTTGGGGTGGGGGCAGCAGTGTCCAATATTCAATACAAGTGCTCTAGGTACTCCATTACAAATCAGAGAAAATATTATGTTTTGGAGAATTACCTTGATAAAATCCTCTGGGGATGGATCGGAGTAAAGCAAGCCATGAAAGGGACTTTGACTCATGAGATGGCACAAATTGAGGAAACTCTGAGAGTCCATATCTAACTCTGGGCTTAAATTTCCTCACCTATTCCAGACCCCTGTGACCTACATCTTTATATCTTTGCAAAAAAATGTCCTTGCCTGGAATGCACCTTCCTCAAATCCCTGCTTGGAAAATTGTTACTCATCTTTTAAAATCACACATTCATTCAATCAGAAATGTTTATGAAGCCCTTCATATGTATTGAGTGCCATACTAGGCACCATGGTTATTAGGATGGTGAGCAAAATCAGACCACGACCTCATTTATGTGCGCAGGCTCTGTACAGATGTCTCTGTCAATCTTGCCCTGGTTGCTCCCTCCTGGGTACTCAAAGCTCTGGGTGTACACAGTATCAGAGAATAATCCCTGTGTTCACATGGCTGTTTCTCCAGCCTGGAAGGGAGCTCCGCAAGGGAAAGGCCTAATTCAATCACCTTTTCTTCCCCAGGGCACACCTCAGAGTCTGACATGTAGTGGGCATTTAATAAATGTTTGTTGACTGAATCATTCATTATTCATGAGGCCTTGATACAGTCAAATCTGTTGAATGATTCTGCTAATGAATATGAGAGAAATTAAAACAATTACCCTCAAGAAAATTATATATTTTTGAGATATTCTTTGTTTTTTCCTATTTTATTAGATTTTATTAGTAGTCCTAGCAGCTATTTTAAATACTTACAAAGCTAACATCACTGATTTTTTTTAAAAGATGCACAGTGTAATATAGTTGAAATTATGCCCAATAGCCTTTTCTGGTTTAAAACTTTGAGAATTTGGGAGGAAAAATAGAACGAGCTGCCATTTAATTGGAAATAGCCATGCATGTGAATATACCAGAGGATTTGTTAGGTTTCTATACTAATCAATAATATTCACCTAGAAATGTTAAGTGGTAGAAGACATTCATGGAATTTGACTTCACAACACCGAAGTCTGGCACATCCTCCAAACAAAGATAACATTGTTTATTTAAAAACACTTAGTATAGATCTAAAAGTTTCCCGAAGTTTGTGAAAATGTGCTGAACTGTTCTTGAAAAAAATTAAAGAATGAAAACAAGCAAACAAAAGAGCCTGTCATTACTTGTGCCGAAAAAGGAGAAGCCATTCTTTAAGTTGTGCGAGGCAGACCCTAGAGGTTTCAGCATAAATATCAGGGGAGCTTTGGAGATAAAGAGATGTCGTTTCTATTGACTTATTTTGAAATAAGTAAAATGTTTAGCCTTTTTTTCACCATGCTATAAATTATATACAGAAGGACTGAAGGGTGAAAGCATGAAAGTACCTACTTGGTCTGGTGTTTAGATCCTTTCAGGTGGGCATGATACTGTTCTATGGAGTTTAGAGAGACACTGCAGATGGTACATCTGTAATTGCGCCTCAGACCTGTGGACAACAGACGGGCTTGATTAGCTGCATCTTTGCCATCACTACCTGAATGAATCCCAGAATCTCTAGAAGTTCAGGACAGAGTATCTCACAGGGCATCTGATCTACCCCACCAACACTTCAATCCTCCTTACAGAGCCCAGCCAACATCTCCCTTAGTAGAAGTTAGAAGCAGGCTGCTCCATTTCTGGATGCCTAAAATTATTAGGACGTGGTAAATTGAACATTATTTTAAAAAGTGGTGGTGGGGGGGACATGCTTCCTGAGATACAATGTTTCTGGACATTTTGTAACCCAAAGACAATTGTACTTTTTCCTTAAGGCATATAGACATGGTATGCTGTCATATCTGCAATGAAATTTGGGACTCCAGAGAAAAATTCTGTATCACTCTTTCAACCCTATTCCAATGGCAAAATCACAAATTCAGCTTTAGACCTCATTCATTTGAATTCTTCCAGGATCATCTTATAAAATGTAAATACCCAAGAGATGGATAATAATCTAATTCACATAAAAGCTTACTTTCCACCAAAGAGTTTAAAAGAAAGTTACTCATTAATTTATTAATTTAATTCATTCAATTCATTCATTAATTATCAACTTTGGACCAGGCACTAGGGATTCTGAGATGAATAAGATGCTCTTGCTTTCAAGGAGTTTAGTAAAAATGTTGACTTCTTGGGCACCTGGGTGCTCAGTTGGTTGAGCGACTGCCTTCGGCTCAGGTCATGATCCTGGAGTCCCGGGATCGAGTCCCGCATCGGGCTCCCTGCTCGGCGGGGAGTCTGCTTCTCCCTCTGACCCTCCCCCCTCTCATGTGCTCTCTCTCTCTCATTCTCTCTCTCAAATAAATAAATAAAATCTTTAAAAAAAAATTTAAAAATGTTGACTTCTTTATAATATTGATTCATCTAGAGTCAAACATGTTAGAAAGTAGCTTTAACCAAACTTTAAACATTTGCCATAGCTCAGAGACCCACATGAAACACGTTCCTTCTGCTAGTGTGTCCCATCAGAATAGATAGAAAAGTAAACTGTGAGTCATGATCTGAAAGTTTGAATTTAAATCTTGGCTCCAATCATTCCTCATTGTATGATCTAGGGGAAATCATGCAATTTCTTCCTGGCCTCAACATGAAGACAAAGCCATTCACATCACCAGGTTGTTGTGAGAATTAGGCAAATAAAATGTATTAAAATGCTTATCAAGTGACAGTTGTTACTAATTTTGCTCCAACACTCTATGTCTTACCATTGTAAAGCCAGAATTATAAACAGCCATAGCACTTTTTTCCCTGATGAATGCATAGCATTTCCTTTCTAAGAGACAAAATCATTCTCATTTTTCTAAAAGGAAAATAATGTACAGTGTTGGTAGAATTGTGTAACCTACAACCTGGGTGACTATATACAAATTAGTTAACTTCTCTGGACTTCCCTTTCCTTAAAGGATTGTGGGAAGGCCTGAGTGAGACAAAGCATGTATGAAAAAGTATCTGGTACATAATAAGTGATCAATATAAATTAGCTATTACTATGATTTCAAAGTGATGTTAAAATGGAATTATCTTTTTCCTCAATGTCACAGATGAAGCCCTAAGTTGAAGCCCTACACCCACATTACTAAAGTGAAGTATGAGAGTCCCAGTTCAAACCATCCAAAGAAAATAGTCAAGAACCAATTTCTAATCCCAAGCTGACCACCCACCACCAGTCTAAAAAAGAGGTTGAAGAAGAAAGAAAGAAATAGGTAGAAGATTTCTTAAAGGAGTCATATTGTACTGTTTTACTTACCCTCCTCCTTGCGAATTGGATTTGTCCTTCTCTCTCACCTCAAACCTATGGGAAAAGACTTCAGTGGAACTAACTCCCTAAAGAGCTTTAGACGTGCCTTCTTGCACTTGGGAAGCCATGTACTGGACTCTTTATAACCCCTGCAAGATTCAAAATGCTGGAGTCTGTAGCCAGTTAGCAACTTTGATGGCAAAGCAAGAAAGGTGGCAGGATTGGGCATGTATTCTCACAGCTTGTCAGAGTAAGAGATACATGACAGCTTCCCACAGACACATGTGTGTCCTGTGTATGAGCAGAGCTGGTTTGGTGATGTTTTGGATATTGGAGTTGGGGACAGTAAGACCTCAACAGAAAGATGCTAAAAATGTTCAGCGGGATATCTAGAGGCTTAAAGTGACCCCAGAGGAAATACTTAGCCCATATCAAGTAATGCTGAGTTCCTGAAAAGCCATGAAAAGAAGAGTCAGTTTGCAGCCCCTGCTGGATCTGGCAGCATCTATGTTTGTCTATCAAGTCAACTTTTATCCCCCTTGCATTTATAACCTGAGACTCTGTATCCCTCAGCCTTGGAGGAACCTGAGGCAACCTTCTGAGCTAAAGGGATAAAAGAAAACCCTGGAACAAAAGCAAGAGCCCTGGGCAGAGAAAAAGAGAGGAGCCTACTGAACTCTCTTTTCTCACAGCAAATAGGCAGCCCAAGCAGATCTGACCTGAGGGAGGGGAAAAAACTAACTTTTAATTAAGTTTGGAGATAAGTGAAAAATTATTTTACTATCTTGGATAGATCAATTAATTAACTTTTATGTATCTAGGAATGAGAGTAAAGAACTCTTTTCAGCTGAAAAGAAAAGAAAAGAAAGGTAGGCCATAAAGAAGAGCTGTGTTTACATCACCTTTCCATTTCACAGGTGTGCATGACTCAGAAAGATGACCATAGTCCCCAAAACCAGAGAACATAAGTTGTCACAACAAGCATGTGAGCTGTTTGAATGTTTCTCCAGGGCTGGTCCATTCCTTCTTTTATGCATGGAATCAGAATATGAAAACCAGCTTCAGGCCTTCCTCCCTGGGTTTTCCATCACTGCCATCATAATAAACGCTAACTACTATTTATACGGGTCCTCTTCAGACTACAGACTAATCAAAGTTCGCCTCATAACAAATGGAGGTTCAGCTTGGCAACTGACATAAATATTTATGTTTAAAAATGGGCATTTTTAAGATCACCAACAAATCTAAAAAATATTCTGATCTGTGCTTTTCATTACAGTTCTCATGCTCTGCAGCTCAACAGAGGCGTGGGCAGGAAATATCTGGCACTTTATTACAGTGTAAACTACAGGAAGCATAAACTAGAAAGGCAGTGGGAATAAACACGAACAAAGGCAGAGAAGGGGCAGAGGAGTCCTCTCCCACACATGACACAGTGTCCTCGGTGGGAAGTTAGGCCTTTATTAATACTCAGTTGAAATCCTAATTAGTTTGGATTAACTCCTCCTTTTTCCTCAGAGAACTAGAGAATCTTATTAAACAAAAATGCTAACTTTCTTATGCAACTCATTTTCAGTGCAATACCGTATTAAGAGTATCCTGAAACCTTTGCATACCTAAAGGTTATTTCTGCAGGATTGCTGGTATGTGTTGGAAAATATAGTCACTGCTGCAAGGAGATGGCCGTCCACTTGGAGAGAGAAGGCATGTATACAAATAGCAACAGTGTAAGGTAGATCATAAAAAGTACCACAGTCAGGAGGAGTGGAATGTATGGGAATAGAGGAGGAGATTGTTTCTAACTCAGAGAATCTGGGAAAGCTTCTTGAAGATGCATCACTTTTGTGTTTATATTCTTAGCAGTGTGTAAAACAGATGGTCCTGGAGTGTTTAGCAGTATGGGACTACTCAATGTGTCTTTTCAAGTCTCACAAAGCCAGACTTTAGATGCCCTGCAACTTCACTTGGATCCCCTTTACATTACAGAAACATCATTGCACCTTTATTACAATGCCAGGTAATTTTGCTCAATGCCAAGAATGTAGCAGAGAATAAAACAGACCAAATAATTTTTGATGGAGCTAGTCAGGTTCAAAGAAAATAAACAAGTAAACAAATAAACACATTATTATAGATTGTGAAGGTGTCACTCAGGATGTACACAGGTAATGAGAGAAACGGGCAGGAAGGGTGATTTTGGACAGAGTTCTCTGAGAAGTGTGAAATGAAACCAGAGGGATAAGACTTAGGCTGTGATGTGAAAAACTGGTTAGAGAGTTGTCCAGGGAGAGTGAATAGTAAGCAGAGACGGCCAGGAATGAAAATGGGCTAGGACTGTTCAAAAAACAAACAAAACAAAGCACTGCCAACCCAGAATTCTATATTCTACAAAAATATCCTTCAAAATAGAAAGTGGAATAACAACATTTTCAATAGACAAAAACTAAGAGAATAGTTTGCCAGCAGACCTACATTACAGAAATGCTTATAACGTTCTTCAGGTGGAAAGCAAATGGCACCAGATGTAAACTCAGATCTACAGGAAAAAATGAAGAATACCATAAATGATTAATATATGGGTATCTATCTTTTTTATTCCTCTAAATTTATTTGAAGACAGAAAACAATTTAAAAAAACTATAACATCGTATTGTGTATTATGGTGTTTATTATAATGTATTTATATGTTACATATATGACAACAATAGCACAAGAATGGATACAAGCAGAACAATACTGTTAAAAGATCATATTTTACATAAAATGGTAAATATTAGTTATAAATAGACAGTGGTCATTCAAGGATGAATATTATAATTCCCTAGAAACAAATACAAAAATATAAAGCTAAAGAGCCTATGGAAAAAATTATATAGGATAATAAAAAATATTTGACTAACCCAGAAGAAGGCAAGAAAAAATAGGAAAATAGAAAACAGATGGAAAAAAATAGAAAATAAATAGCAAATGGTTTAGTTAAATTCAACCATATCAATAATTACATTATATATAACTGGACCAAACATTTAAAAGGCAGAAATTATCAGTCTAGATAAAAAGCAAGATTTAAATACATACTGTCCCAGAGGTATATTTTGTACACTTATAGGTTAAAAGTAAAGGGACAGAAAAAGACATACCATGCAAGCAATAAGCATACGAAGTGGAGGTGCCATGTTAATATCAGGCAAAATAGATTTCAAGATAAG